GATATTTGCGTATATGAATATTTCAAAACTACCAATACCTTAATCTTGAATTAAAGAAAAAGCGAAATTCGGGATCGGAAACGACCAGGCTTTCAGGGAGGCGGGACTCATGGAGCCCGTTTCACAAAAGATCCTGTCAAGTTCAATAATCGATCTCTGGTCATAGAAGTAGGAGGTGAAGACCCTTCACCTCCTAGCTCTGCGTTATCTTTGACAGCGGTTCACTTAGGAACACAAAAGTGGAAGCGCAATGTTTTAACTTACCTAAGCACTCTCGCCTGGTCAGTTCTCCTACGACACTAGTCAAGATTTCTTCAAAGACTTCTGCCGAGTATAAGTTGTCTTCATCAGATGCTATGTTTAGCAGCTGGAAGGGGTTGACGTTCTTTCCGATGCCGAGCGCAATTACATCAATTCCTTTCTCATGCAACTTCTCGGCTGCAGCAATAAGGTTTTCTTCTGATGCTACTGGACTGGGCTCAGGGGTCTGCGTACCGTCTGTGACCACCAGAGCAATCTATAAAATGATGGTAAGGTATCAAGGTCAGGGAGGAAAAGCGTGATACAGCATGCGCAATTTTTAAATGTATCAAAAACTTGTTAAGATTTCTGGTGTTGCTATGCCTCGCTCCGTGATTGGCGAAGAAAACTCGCACCGCGCTCTAAACTAATCTAATCGAAAAGAATTGCGATTTGGTCAGCCATTGGTTTTGATTGAATTATTCAACCCGTGCAAGGATCTCTGCAAGGGAAAAAGCAAACGCATGAAAGAGCAGCGAGGGTCGTCAGGCAACCACTGCACTTTCGCTCGTCTCTTCTTAAGATTTGCGTGACTTGGTGATTCGCACTTTCCGCGAGACAAGACGTTTCACGCGTTTATACCGTTGGACTTCTCGTAAAATTTCCTATTTTTCTCTCTTAAAAGTTCAAATGATATGGACATTATTCAACTTGAGGAAAGCTGTTACCAGCATATTCTTATAACTTAAAACGATTCCTGTAAATTTCTCTAACCTGTTTGACATCTGGTCTCATGCCACCTTCTGTAGTGAAAATTTCCTGATTTGCTAACTCCAAAGCTTTATCAATGAATGTTTTTCCTTTCGATTGTAAGATTTCTTCCACCTTTCGCTTGACATTCACACCATTTAGCTGTGCATCGGCGAAATCGTTAAATCTGAGGTAAACTTTAGGGTCTGTACTGTACTCGAGCAGTGCAAAGTGGGTGCCGTCTGGAGAAACGTCGAACGCGTCCACTATGCGTTTGACAAACTCCTTAATTCGACCCCAGTTTTTTTTGGAGATACTTCCTGAGCCGTCCAAAATGAAGGCGAAGTCCACAGAAACAGGGCAAGCGGCTTGAAGGACGAAAGAGGAAAAGATTACACCCACATAGGGGATTCTTCTGGAGCTTTTACGGCCAATTTTCACCGTTGAGTTGAGATTTCTAAGATTTCTATCTTAATCATGCAAAGGATCGCACCCAACGAAGTGGGAGTTAAATGTTTTTTTCCCTTCCCCTTAAAGCAATGCTAACGAGCGTGCGCGGGCATATTCGGATTGAGCTCAGCTGTCCCACATAGGCGAGATTAAGTGTTTACTTTATTAACCAAACAGTACCTAACTGCAGTAACAGTGACAAACTCCCTTCGGAGTACGAGATAAAAGAATAAACCCAATCTACAGATGAAAAAGGTTACATCTTACTTTGAGGTTCAGGTTCTAAGCAGAGTAGTTGACAAGCTTCATCATCAAATATGGAAGGACAGCATTTGAGGCCAGCGGAACATGCCTGGTCTGATTCACATTCATTGTCAACGTCCAGTGGGCATTCCGCACCATATTTGGTGACTTTCGGGCAGACATACTCTGCAATGTTAATAATGGAAAAGAAATGCTTACAGAAAAATAGCTCATTGCAGACCTAAAACTTTTAAACGAGTCTTCTAGAGGAGCGGGGGAGGGGAGGGGGGAGGGAGGAGGAGCAGTCCCAAATATGGCCAGTGTGGCACCAAATAGACGAAACGAGTATGATAGCGGGGTTGTGAAGGTCACCCCCCTGCGACTAAACTTCCCTAAAGTGCCTCCCATATCCTACTCACCAGTGGAAGAGTCTGCTTTATAATAAATTAATCGAAAAAAATCGCAATACTTTATTTATTTTCTCAACTGAGGCTCTTATGGAAGTCCTAGTACGAGTTCCAGCCGCTATCGTGTCTGTTGGTAGTTCCGTGAAAGAAACAGGATTTGAAGTCTTCAGGGGGAGATTCTTCTATTCCTATTCATTTGGCGGATCATGCTTAATTCCTTGCCAAATAACATTACCTAATACATATCTTTTGTTTATGACAACTGACGGATGAAAATTAATATTTACGAAATAGGGTGTTGTGTGACACAATCCATGTCACACAATCTTTTTCAACAAAACGTCATGCCTTTCACGAACGGTCGCACAAAATAATGCATATTCAACATGCTTGCCTTATTTTCAAAGCGTTCGATGAAATCGTAACATATGTGAGATCTGCCTTTCACTGATAACTCTAGCGATCGGCGCCGTCGCAAAATTTCTCAGCGAAGCGAAGTTTCCGTAGCTCAAGTCAACGACTACAATCGATTCGTTGTTTAAAAAAGATTACACTCCATGTTACTCGGTATTCAGGAGAAAAAAAACATAGAAATCGAATAGAATGATGTAAGCATTCGTCAGCTAACGAGAAGTATTGTAAAATATCGTCATATTTTACAATTTCAAAGTTTGAACGGGCAAGGTTTCATTAAATGGAGAATTGCCAAGATGGTCAGATTTCGATTAATTTTGTAATCTTTGCCCATAACCCTTCGCTAAATCCGTGGATTAGTAAATTATAATGACTCATTTCGATGGAAGTTTCTTAATAGAAACCGAAATTTCCCTCTGTTAAGCACAAAACTCTTTTCTTTATCCTTGCACAAATTAAAGTCTAACACATCTCGCGTGAGCTAAAATTTATACGATAGCGTTATTATTTTCAGTCATGAATATTCATTACTCACGGGCGCGTATTCTTGCGAGAAGCAATCCGAAGACAAATATCGTCGTTAATGCCTTCAATGGAGCCATGTTTCCAGGATCTTTGTAGAAACCAAAGCGCTAAAGTTTGGTCAGGATGTTGTCAAATTCATCCCGCTTTTACTGGGGCCAGGCAAGGCCGCGAGAGTAGAATAGTGGTCTTTGTGAGGTAACATGATACTTGACTGACTGAATCTGTAGTCATGGAGTGGAGCCGTCTGCAGGTCTTCGATCACCGCGGTGTTTCTATCGTTCTAGTTTCTGTGTGATGGTTTCAGCTTCTGTGTGACTAGCAAGGGGCATTATACTTCCTACAGCTCGAAGATGTCAGTTAAAATGACAGCTGTCCTAAGAGAGATATCAAGGATTTTTCTAAGGGAGCTGTCAGATTGCGTTAAAATGAATTGACTCCGAAGACCAATTGAAATATTTTGTACATGCAGCTGAACAAATATCAAAAGATAAAGCCAAATTATCAATGGCATTAAGCTCGCAAACCCTGACACACCTACTTCCCCCCCCCCTCCTCCAAAAAAAATTAAACAAATAAATAAATAGATTAATTTATAATTTAAAATATACTAAGTAATTAGCGTGAGGACGTGTCAATACTGCGACAACCGCGCATAAACAGTGCCAATTGATTGTATTAGATAAAACGTCTACGACAGGCCGTAAAAAAATCGGTTTGGCATGTTTTGCATAGCCAAGAAACCAGGCCAGGAGCAGGAGTAAGCCGGGAATCATATAGCTTGTTCTTAGCTGAAGCACAGAGTCTGAAAAGAGGATGTAGGCTCACGGCTATTATAAGTTGTACATACTCGTTAGAAAATTAACGTGGAACGTCCAGTTGGTCCTGAAGACTAGAGAAAGTCGTAGGTTGAACTCTGAAGCAGTGGGTGGAGAGAGAGGGAGGCGCTTTTTGTAGCATTTGGGTGAAGAAGTATGCCAGGATTTTTATTGTCATTGGCTATGAATCAACTTGACGAAGAGCGAATCATTTACACCCTAGTACTCCTGAACTCTTTAACTCCCGTGAGTGACCATGAAAGAATTTCTCCTTACCATATCTAAACTGATATCATGCAGACAAGCGATGAGAATTCAGAAAAGTATCAATTATGGGATTACTAATTAATTAAGCGACCTCCCACATACACACTGGTATGTGCCACTAAACAGAGCATGGTTTTCGATATCTTGAACGGTAAACAGAGTGTGCAATCGCCACTGCCTAAAGTGCCAAAGAGGATCTGAAGTTTGGCCTGCTAGCCTTGAACAGATTACGTACTTGAATGTGCACCTTTTATATGCATGCTACTTGTAGGAATTTTCGTCGCGGCAAACATAATTAATGCGCGACAGGGAAACTCTGTTTTGCGGAAAAAAGGGAAAGGAAAGCAGAACGGCAAAAAAGCGAGTCTTCTCGGGCCACATGGTTCAAGTTGGTGGTCTATTTTACTACTGACTCAATTCAAATGTTGAGAAGATTTGCCATAAAAAGCCCATTTGAGAATGAAGTCATTCCACAATCAGAAGTTTTATTTACTGGGAAGCGCGATGTAACTGCGCCTGAGTCGGCGGGCGTTGAAACAAGGGGAGAAGAACATTTAAAACTTTATCTTGAATTAAAGCTTTAAAGGGGTTCGGGTTTATCTCCTTATGTGGCTTTCAGTTCACTGATAACAATACGTCCGACTGAGCCGAAAAGTGCTCCCTTATAGCATTCGATTGAATCAACTTTTGTTCGATGTGTTTGTTAATGAAATCAACCGCTATTAAGCGGCGAAATTCTCTCACAGTCGATGACGCGTTAATTTGTTGATGTCACCAACTTGTCACGGTATGTTATTAAACTTTATCAAACCCTTTCGCTCTAAGCATAACCTCAAACGAAAGATGTTTGTCGTTCAAAGTGGTACTCGGTGAATCCGCATAAGAAATCATGCGTTACATCAAACTACTTCTAATCTGCAGCGTTTTGTTCACGTTGAAAGCAGGAACGCTTGCTCAAGAAGGTATGTTATCATGGGCAGGTTTTCAATTGTTTTTCTTGCACCGGAATTGAAGGACAGAAATTAACAATGTCTTTTAAGAACATATGAAACCGTAACCCGTACTGAACGTTTGCCTTCACACTGAGGACAAAATGAACGGTGACGTAAGCTGACTTAGGATCTATGTGTTTGCGCAAATGTAATCAGTTTTACAAAGCAGTTTATATGATTGAGTCAGTGATCGATCTTCACTTGAGCCAAAAATCACTTTGAAATTCTTCCCTCTTCATGACCTTTACGTTCTTCTGAGTTTTCAACCAATTAATTTCTTTTTCGCTTGGCTTCCAACCCCTAAATGATCATTTAAATTGTTATGGCTAGACCGTCTGTTAGATCATAAAGCACGTCAGATTTACATCGCGTGACTTTTCGTCCCTGGAGCTGGTTCCGTTCGAAAGGGATGTGATGTTATCTTACAAACTTTTGGTTCACTTGTCAAGTAAGTTTAACAGGTACCACGGGCATAAGTTGCTCAACACTGCTCTTCCTGAAAGCACTACATGCAAAGTTCCTAATCATTGTTCAGTCTAGGTTCGGTTCAAGATCACCATAACAAGGCTAAGAAAAATATAAAACTGATTTCTGAATGAAAAAAGAAATACTGCATTACATGATGCTTGCATTGCTTTGCATTATTGTTGACTTAGGGACTTGTCAGAAATTAGCAGGGGGGGAGGGGGGGTGGAAACAGAGGGGGATCACAACTTTTTGAGCCTCAGAAGAGGGAGGGGTCATGAAAAATGGGCAGTTAAAAGGGGGAGGGTCATGCAAATATATGCCCGTGATCATGTAGAGGTTCACCCACAGAAGAAAAAGGAAGTTCTTTATTTGGCAAAAAAAAGAGAAAAATACAACGGTTTACGGAACGTTATGGATATAAACTGTGAAGTACTATAGCAAGAATTTAACAAACATGTACTTTTCATTTATAACAATGCTATATAGTCTTATTGAAATTATGAATATTGTTGTTATTAATAATGTTAGTAGAGTTCTGGCTATCCTATTCATCACTGTCTTCAGCATCACCATCAATGCTGCTGTGAGAATCTTGATCATCATTATTTATCTTAATGCTGTCATCGAAAATGTATGTATGTAGCATGACAAAGAACAGATTAGAAATATATTTTGAGTTTTCATAATACTGACGCACCCTAGTGTATTGCAAGAACTAGATTTTATCATTTATACAAGAGGGGGAGGGTCATGATATTTTAGGCCAAGCTCAAGGGGAGGGTTAGCAAATTTCACTCCCATTGCAGGGATGGGTCACCTAATTTCCGAACCCAAATTTAAAATTCCCACCCCCTCTCCCCCCCTGCTAATTTCTGACAAGTCCCTTAACGACTACTCTATGTAAATTAGGCCATATGCTTGTGTTTTCTTCATATTTTTACTCTTGACGAACAATCTTAATTCTAATAACAACTTCCGAGTTCGTGTCAAAGTCAACAAATTGTTTTGTTTTAGAAATTCTTTGTGCGGAGCCAACAGATCTTGGAATCATTTTAGACTCATCCGATACGGCTGGGAGCAAATGGCGAGAGGTTTGTAAAGCACAATTTCTTTACCCAAAAATTCTCGCCCCAAATTGATAATCAAATACGGTTTATATAAATTATCACATTGTAAGAATTGTCTTGGTTATCTCCGTCTTATTTTTTGAGCGGCTATGAATTTTCTTTTTTTTTTCAGAAATTTTCTGCTCTGTTTTTATTTATTCCCTTTTAAAATTTGTACAAGAGGACTGGAACAAGTAATGATGCGCCTAAGTGTTATGTCGAGCATTTCACGAAAGACTGGGCGATAACTAGTCACGTGATCGACACTTTATAAATTGCTTTACGTCATCTACGTGCACGTTTTCTTTCGATTGTCAGGTTCTGGACTTCACCACTTCTTTGGTGGACTTTTTCAACATAGGCCGCCTAAAAAGCCATGTTGGTTTAATCACCTACAGCACAGATGCACAATTGGTTATGGACTTCAAAACTTTTGAAGGTGACCGCCTAACTCCGGAAAATGTGAAAGACTTCATCGAAAAAGTAGTGCCGACCGGAGGTGACCGCTACATTGACAAGGCGCTAAAACTGGCGAATGAAAGACTGTTTACTGCAGAGGCGGGAATGAGGGTGAATAAAAGTGACATTAAAAAGGTCTGTCAAGAAAGTCTCACGGCGCAATAATTTTACAGCAGAACCAGAAAAATAAGGCAAATTTTGCACAAGGAGTATTGAAAGCTATATCTCTATATTTCTTTCGGTACGCTTAACTAGCGATGTCAGCAGGGTCAGTGAGCTAAAAACTCTCAATCACATGCAATAAATTATATCCTGTTTTCCTTGCATGTCCGGTTTGAGCTATTATATGGGCTCTCTAAATTTTTCCTGAGTTTGCTGTTGCGAAAACTTTAGCCGTTGTGATCATTTTAGTCACTTAAGTTAGGTTTATCCATCTCCTTTTAACGATAATTCTTAAGTTATCATGAAAATTACTGCGCTATTTTAAAGCGAAACATTTTAATATTTTTTATTGTTCTATTCACAGATTATGATTCTGTTAACCACAGATAAACAAACAGGCCAACAAAGCAGTGTCAAGTCATTACAGGAGGCGTCTGAGCCTCTGCGAAACAAAGGAATCAAGATTTATGTTGTGGCAGTTGGGAATAAGGAAGATATTGATGAAGATGAGCTGATAGAAATTGCAGGCGCTCGAGAAAATGTTATTACCGCAGAATCATACGACCAACTTGTAAACTTGGCAGAGGAAATATCCAAAGTTGCTTGTGGTACGAAAATTGAGTTCGTCTTGAGCTTAATGATATCAAAATCGTTGTAGGCCAACAAAATCTTTTGTGTTATCGAGTATGAGCACATTTACGATTTTCCTGTGAAAATATAAGCTTCAAATATCAGCTAGGATTGCCAATACTTCCATAGCAACGTCTAGCCAGAGTCAACCTGGTTGCGAACGACGCTCTCGGTCGTGAGCTCTAGGTACGAAAATGATCGAACCCTGGACCACCTCAATTGCCACCAGATTCTCTACATATTTTACTGATCGTCTCCTAAATTTTATTTTTTTACTTTTTTCCTCCCCTTTCTGTAGGAATAAAGCTTATGGAGGTAAGCTATCATTCATCAGATGAGTTCCTCGTAATAAATATCTGATATGGAAGGCAGCCTTTCACAACATCCAGTAACTCGTCTCATTTGACATGCGCGTTACTGGTCGTGACTTCACTAAAGGCGACCAAGAAGTCGCCAGTAGTGAAGCAAAACAATATATCATTCTAAAATCCCAAAGAACAATTAATTTGCTTATTTGCGTTCATCTGTCTCTATACATTGCGTGTTTTGCAAGTTTTGAGGTTTTAGCTCTGACAGCTTTGGTGAAGCCTTGGTTGATAATATCCAGCAACTTTGTCAACGGAAGTTTACTCGGTGAGTGAACAAAATAATTTTTACCTCTAGGCAGTTTCTTACTTCTCTCAGACAAAGTATTGGCCATCAAATTTATTATTCCGTCTGTGTTCCTTTTTTTCAGTATGATCTGGAAAACAAAACAACCATTTTGGCGACGTGATAGAGTGACCGCAGACCACTTGAGAATTACTGTTATCACACTGGGTCTGGGAAAGAAGACAGCATTTGTTAGCCATGAGCGAAAGACATGAAATAACCGACCTGAGCCTGGTTTTAAGTCGCGCAAACCTGAGTTTCGAGATGTGCGCAACTAACCTGCGTTAGGATCTCGGTTAACAGGGACGAAAGATAAAGCTACGCTTCCATGCCAAAGAAATTGGGGTGGGGAGGGGGGGGGGTTGGGGCGGGCGCCTGGGGTTCAGTTAAAGGTTCTTCTTGCTCCACCCCCTGAAATGTATTTTTCTTCACTCATCCCCCCACCCTTTTCGCTCGTCATCAAAATTTGAGGGTCCGGATCAGAGTAACCCGCTTTCCCTCTCAAGGCTTATGAAAAGCGCTTAAGTTGCGTGATTATAGAAAGAAGGTGGTGTGTTTTAAGTCTTATGTAACCTTTTGCAATGATTCAGTTGAAAGATGGTGTTCATTAGTCCGGTACAAACCAAAAAAAAATCCCCCGGCGAGCGAAGACAAATAAATGTTTTGTGCAAAAGGAAAGATCTAGAAACTTTTGATGGCAAAAGGTAAAAAAATAATTCTTCACCAACCCACGCTCTCCACCTCGCCCCTTCACTTGTGGTTAGTAGTTATACGTGATCATGTCACTGCAAGAATTTTAAGGTCAGGCAAACAGTTACAAAAATAAACACAAGTCTGACGAGGCGGGAGGGAGGGGGTCTGGATCCTCCGACCATTCCTCCATATATCCTTTGTATTAATGCAATTGAATCTACGTTTTTCCCGTGCCAACTTGGCTGGATTAATTTTAAGACTAGCAGTAGGTTGGAGAACTTCAATTACTGGTCACTCATCCATAAAATCAGTTTCACGTGACGAACATCGATATCGTGCCTACTGCTGACATTTGGATCGCTAGATAATTGTCACAGGGACCCATAATTAGTCAAACGCAGCTATAACTCCAGTTTGATACTTTAATATCTAACTGGCTTTCGACATGGAGACTCAGTGGTAGGTTACGAAGAATTCGAAGAAGCTATAGGGTTTGTAGGGTCTATCCAGTTTGGTTTTATAAAATATATTAATTTTGTCTATTGTTAGAAATTTTGATTGACGAGTACTTAATGTTCTGAACCCGACCACGGATGCCATTTATTAGGGCACCTTCATATCTTAATTTCATTGGTCAATTTTATGACGTGTGAGTCAAGATTGCGAAGCTTATGCCAATCACATTGGCCTTCAAGAATATTATCAGTGACATTATACTCGAGAAAAATAATATCCAGGTCATATGAACACAGTGGTTTAGAATTTACTTGAAGCGCCGTCAGTTTAGGAACGTATAACCTTGCTACAGCGAATCTCTATCCACTATATTAAGGAAGGCAAAATGCACTTGTTCACAGCTTTGGCAGTTATGGTGTCTGTGTCTTTCTTTGGGTCTTCTGTTTGCCAAGACAGCGATGAAGAAGCGTGTAAGTTTAAGAGATGCAGGTTTTATCACTGATTCTTCAAAATGATCTGATCTTTAATCTCGTAAAGGCCCAAGGCCTAAAAAGAAAAAAATAGGCACAAACAGTTTCTTTACATCTTTCTACGCTATTTATTTATCCGCTCATTCCAGGATTCGAACTGTATACATATTTTTCTTGTTTTAGCCATCTATGTGCTTCGAATTCGTGTAAGATAGATAGATCATGGCTGCATTGCGTTGATATGAAAACATTTGGCTTGCTTTCTTAAGGATCTTAAAGAGGAAAGGACTTTAACATGAAATTTAACCCATTGTAGGAACAGGAAGGAATTTAACTTAGCGCAGACCGCGCTAATTATAATCGGCAATTAGTTTTTTTTGGCATCATGGATGATTGTTTCTGATGAAATATCACATTGTTACAAAGATGAAATGCGAAATAACCCTTCTGTTACTGCAAGCAGATTAATAACAAGAGTGTTCTTAAAAACACGTAGAGTAGTTAACGCATCTGTGCAGTGAAATATACGCTTTTTCTTTGCTAGCCATTCCTGCTGTAGTTAAGTCTAGTCGGGTCAAAAGGAATCAATTAGACGCAAACCGTGCGTTAATTTTTAAATTTTTCTGCATAACGGAAACTGCGCAAATATTTCGTGAAGAAGCAGTTAAAAAAGTGTGTAATCTGCACGAATTTTTGTGATAAGCTTATTACGAAGTTGGAATAATTCGTGTACGTCCTCATCTAACCTATTCACGAAAGGTTTCTCTTTGGGGGGTTTTTCTAGGATTGTTTGAAAAGCTGTATTTGGTGTTTTGTTTAAATTTCTGGTTTAAGAAAGTGTTTTAATTATTTAGTTTGTTATTTCAAACTGAACGATTCATTCCATCAACAGCTTCTTGAGATGCCAAAGGGGAAACGAAGTTGACCTTGTAAGCAACAGAAATTTGAATGAAGCGGTTATCAATATAATAATATCGGTGCCAAAAAAGAGTCGAAAAGGGTGGTATATCTGTACGCAAACGGAAACACAAACTAAAATAAGATTTAAGATCGAGTAATCCTATTTAAGAAATCAAAATATGATTTGATGTCACGACATTTTTTTTTTTTTTTACATCGACTGGGTTTAATCAAAAATAGGAAACAGGTCTGTAAACAAAATCAAACCACTCCCCGCTCTGCTCATGTGATTTCCGTTGTTTTTCTTTTTCTTCGTATAATCGCTTCCCACAACTAGATAATTAACCCAAACACGAAATCTAGCGTTCTTCGAATAGTACATATGCATTGTCTTATCGACATATGTTTTATTTATTCTCGTAGTGCAAAATTCTGGCGATTGTCCTCGACTGACGTGGCATCACCGCTGTTCATTCCCAATCGTCCACGAATGTGCGGTGGATGTGGACTGCGGGGAGACTAAAACCAAGTGTTGTTACAACGGCTGTAAACTAACGTGCCAAACAGCTGTCAAACGCAAGCATGGGAAACGTCATCGAGGATATACAAGTAAGGGACGGAAGGGGGGGGGGAAGGGGTGGTCGGAGGATCTTTGGAGGAACACGTTATTTTCAGGAGAATAGAGGGGGGATTAGTCATAGTCGACAAAGTATATATAAGGAGGGGAAGGAGGGGACTGTAGAAATTTAACCGTTAATAACTGACAAAGAGGGGTAATCATACGTATATTACAGAACCATATGGGAAGATCAGGTAAATTTTATTGCGATATGACCAAAATCCTCTAATCTAACTTGTTTTTTTCTCATTTTTAAATCTATGCAGTGTGTGAAAAACCCATGGATCTCGTTTTCATGATCGACTCGTCGGAGAGTGTTGGTGTTGAAAACTTCAAAAAGATTAAAAAAATGGTAGACAGAACCCTCACCCAGTTCACCATCTCGGAGAAGAAAACTCATGTCAGTATCATAATGATTGACAGTGTGCCACACATTGAGCTGAATCTCAACACCCTTAAAGGAGACAACATCACAAGTGATAACGTCTTTAAGGTAGTTGACAACCTCAAGTTTATCAGCGGGCAGACAAGAATTGATCTGGCTCTGCGCATGGCACGTAAAGAGGTATTCTCGAAATTGGGAGGTGGAAGGAAACACGCGCAGAAGGTGAGCTTCTGGGATATCAATTAATAACATAAGTGTCTGTGCAGATTTGTATGAACAAATCATTTTATTTATTTTTGCGAGAATGCGGTTGCTTCTTAAATCTTGCTTTAAAATTTTGGGGTAAATTTTGTGTGCAGGAAGTCAGAATTGACCCATTTTGCCTACATTTAAGTGCTGTGTTCGAGAGACCAGTTCGCTTGAGTCTGAGGAATATCTTAGTAAGACTTGATTGAGGGGGGAAGGGATTTTAGGCCCTTGATCAGTTACATACACCTTTCTCTTTGTCTTTTAGATCCTTCTTGTTTTTAGCGACGGAGGACAGACGTGGAATCCAACAATGCTTAATCTTAGGAACGAAGCAGAAGACCTGATGATGGCCGGGGTGCAGATTTATCCCGTGGGAGTCTGGGCCGACGAACTGAATATGAGAACGCTTCTCGATATCACATCCAGCCCGGACAACTTTTTCAACGCAGAATTTTTTGGGAATCTCCTGGCACAATTGAAGAAAATTTCAAAAGCGCCTTGTCCTGGTAAGTTGTGGCTATAGGTGTCTTATATAAAAAATGTATTCCCAAAAAAGATCTTCCAAAATCGGCTCCCTCTATCTTCACACAAAGTTTCCAAAGATGATGAGCAGTACTCCGGTAATCATTTCTGAGCAAAAGTAGCTTTTTCCAGTGAATGTCACACGTATCTAACAAACCTTTTGTAACGATCTTTTTAGGTTCCCTGAAACGTTTGCTGCTGAAATATGGACTGAGGGGACTAACCAAGAAAGAGTGAAGTACCGCACAATTAAGGCTGGGTTGATAACCGTCAAAAATAGCACCCAAGTTATGAAAAAGTGAAATTAAATTAAATCAAAAACCAATGTTAATACACGTACTTCCTCTTTGTTTAGCCAATGAGCAGACCCTCATTGTTAGCCCTGAAGGACGTGCGTTCCTCCTTCCGCGGGAAGATTTGAGACCAATTGGGGAGATGTTTGCCAGGAGTCTGGCACTAATAATAAAATGCTACTCGCTCGCTTGCGTTTCTCGAGGCCTCATATTTTCCCCGCGAGCGAACAAAAGCTCGCACTGAAGCGCTGATAATGATGGCTTTGCTCGCGACCAATTTAAGGATTTGAAGGTTTTGTTAAAGAATGAAATTAAATCCTCACACCCACGATCTGACGAAAAATTCCCCATGGCGACCCTTCTACATTTCCTTGAGTTGTAGTTTTGAAAATTTGATGCTATACCCGAACGGTTTTATTTACGGAGGACACGAACTGCCGTCACAAATTGCGCCTATGGCGAGAGATGTCAGAATAATTTCCAGTGGTAATGAATAATTGAAACGAAAACATCTCTAGAGTAATAATTTTGACACAAAGCAAAAACTGATTTTAGGGATATATTGGTTTTCATACATCGAGAATATTTTAAAACATTTTTGCTGTGGAAGTGATTCCTTCAAGTTTATCTTTTAATCCCAACGCACTGGTTGAAAATTACAAACAAAAATAATGAAATATTCAAAAGAGTTTGACAAAAGTGTGAACATCTTTGTTGCCACACATTTTAGATGATGCGATATTTGTTCGGAGCTCACAATATTTCTGTTTGTACATAATTCCCATGCACTCAGCTACGTGGATAAATTTTACCTTAATAATCGACCAAAAGTGTAATTTACGTCTATTGTTTTCTATTGTTGTCAATAATGATGTTTGACAGTGTGGCGCTAAAAAAAACCCGTGCATTTGAACAGACAATCACAGAGAGGCTCATTCGCTATTACACGTAGTTTCGATGGTTCTCACGCGGTTGTAACAAACTTGAGTATGTAATTCAAACGGAAAGTCAGAAATCTTGAACGTGAAATATCAGTGAAGAACTTTCGCTTTCCCCAAATCATCTGAGAAATGTGCTAAGCGCATTGTGTGTCATTGGGGCGAGAACAGGAAAATTAATAAGGTTAGTAAATGGTCACTTTTTAATTACGAATAAGTTAGGTTTGACAAGAGGCGATTAAATGAAAAACTCGGCCTGAAAATTTTTGCCCTTTCCACCGCAATGAAGGAGGTGTTATCATACCTCAGTACCCCGCTCAAGGTAAGACACGTAACGAGTACTTAGTATCGTTAGCTTAAACCTTCGGATTTCAATTCGGTCCGGCTCGAAGTTTAGTATTGTTTAAAACTATTAATCCGGATCTTCTTTGGCTTTTGATTCTTAAAATGGCTCCACAAGAGCATCAAGGTTTGGAAGCGACTCTAAGTCGTTAGCAAACCATTAGAGACATTGAAGTATAGCACCGTCAGGGTAACCTAGAGTATTCACATACTCGGGGTGTCGGACCTTCCACGACCAAGCGGCTGTACATTACATTTCAGTTACAGTTACAGTTACACGGTAGGATCTGGGTACGAGATTACTGTCGACATTTGCTGACACAGGAACACTCGCAGTTATTTCAAATAGGTACGAACCCCACCCAACTAGATTGGATGCTAGTCACACTTAGTCATCAAAGGAATAAACTAACAGCTATGAACACGACTCTGCTAAGTATGAACACGCCCTCCCAAAGTATAGAGCCGAATATCTGTGGTACCTTACAATCGATCAATTTAAGTCTTACTTACTTCAGTTATCATAGTTACAAAATGAAACCCCTTGTCAGCTCAGCCTTCTTTGAACAAGGTTAGTTTACTAGTTGCTCCCTAAAGAGGAAGAACCTCAGAAGAAAGACCGCTGAATCATGGAAAGTTCCTTCCTTCCCAGTCTCTCGTCATTTTTATAATTGACGGATGTATGACCTGGGAACAGTCTTGAGCTAAATACTCGAAAGGGGCTATTAAAAATTCTTTGTTGTGATTATCTCGTGCTCAAAGAGAAAGAAAGGGTAGACAAACGGGTGACAAACGTCCTACAAAAATATTTACCTACCTAATGAGTATTTATAAAATAACCTTAGGCTACAGAATGACTTTGAATAATACCTCAAAGGCGACACAACTTATGATTGCAAAGTTGCTCGCTCACTTGAACATCATTTCGAAATCGTGATTTAAAACGAAAGTGCGCGTACAAAAATAAAACATTATAATACTAACATGAACAATATGGAGACATAAAGCTGGAATATTAGAGTGACCTTAAACCTTTCTGGCTACCAAGCAATTATGCAACACTTTTGAGTTTTACACCATAGCGTATCCCATATAGTACATGTCTCTTAGGCAAGTGCGTGTGACAAGAAAATCCAAATAGCAACTACGAAACCCAATGTTCCACCACAAGAAAGTGCTCCATGACTATTTTAAATCGTGTCATAAAAAATACTGGTTTTGAGCCGGCTTCGTAATCTCCTCGATCTTAACAAGGTTTTTCAAAACTCTTAAAACGCTTCTTGGTAAAAATAAATGGAATGGAAGATGAAAAGTGCATGTTAAAGACGGTCGAACTAAGCCGGAAGTGACGTCCCTTATAATTCGGCGGAAATGAAATAGCAGCTCACGATAGGCACCGTACCTACAACGGTTTTCTTAAATTCGGAATGCCTGTTTCTGTTTGTATTTATGGCATGGGTTGAAAAAAAAGATTCTACAAAAGAAATTTGAATTAAGACAGTAACATTGATAATTCAAAGCGCATCAGAATTGCATGGTTGTTTCTCGAGCTTCTTCAGTTCGTTTAGCATCTCATCATCAACGTCAGGCCAAACGTAGATGTCGCTCGTAGCTATCTGCACCAGAGTCATCAGGCTCATTTCATCAGTAATTCCTACAGTCTGTACCAGAACGTTAGAATCTCTAAATTCTTGCGCAACTTCGTCCACGGCGTCGCTTTCTTCAAAATCTATGTTTGCGTCGGACAAAACAAGGAGGACCTATGACAAAAAGGAAAAGATGTTTTTCCAGTTGCTCATAATATTTCAGTCTGCCTTCATTTTCGACTTAGGTTGCTGTAAATGTAGTCTGGGATGCCATGCAGTGCTCAGGAGTGCGTGAGTGTAGGTTGACTGACATCCCACTTCCAAAAATTCCTCGATATGAAAAATGAATCCACGATGTCAAAAAATTTAAGCAATCCATATTTGAAGTAAGTGGCTATACGTTTCTAAAGAAACTGACAGAGGTGCTGCGTATCACAAGGTAATTTAGTTTTATCAACTTAGTTCAGTGATAATGTGCACTGGCCTCCATAAAGACTTTCTAAAGCTGAAGTTTCGAGTGTTAGCCCGTCTTCAAAGCAAAGAGAAGACAGAAGAATGGAGTTTTGCTATTGGAGAATAACTTGGTTGAATGAAAAGCGTTTGTCGACCGGTTGATACAGCGAGGATTAAGAGTGTAGATTTGATATGTATGTTTACCTTCATGGCATTTTCTCTTGCCCCTTTCTTCTCATCAAACATGTGTTTGGCATTCTTCAAGGCTGTTGTTAGTTTTCCATTCTTTTTCGTGGGTGTAAATGCCTTCATAAATTTCCACACATTAACATGGCTGATATTTCGGCCCTTAAGTTGATCAAATCCAAGCAGCGGCTGACTCTTTTTGGAAATTGCTCCCAACGCTATGTGAGTATTGTCTTCTCCGATGGACATTTTGTGGACAATTTTGAGGACCATTTTCCTCACTTTTGGCCATGTGGAAATCTGCGCGTCAAATAGGATGGCGAGATCGACAGGAGCCTGACACCCTAAAGGCAAAGAAAGGAGATTGGATTAGAGCGCAATGTAGTCAAAGCAGTCAATCAGGAAAAAAAGAAAAGCAATACAAGAAGCCAATTAGGAGAAAGCTTTGAGGGAAACATAAAACGAAAAAAGCAAGTGTTTTAAACAAGTTGCCGTCAAACTGACAGAAATATAGTTTACTTACAATGAGTAACTGGATGTACGCATTTATTGTTACAGCCCATCATACAGCACTTCATCGACGACGTGCATTCATCGTCAGCGGAACACTCGTCTTTGCCTTCACTAGAGGAGAAGAGTCCTCCCAGCAATCCCAGTTCACCGGCACAGTCCACTGGAGGTCTCACATACGGGCATTCTCCAACAGGACTACTGCGTTTGCCTGCAAATTGTGACAGATTCGCCGAGTGAACAGGGTGTGGTGGACTAGTTTTCCGGCTTTTAGTCTATATGAAGGGAGGGGGGATGGGGAGGGGTGTGAAGGGACGTTTCAAGGGGATGGGGTTGAATCTTTTCATCTTGATATCAAGTTCAAGACGGAAAATGTTATAGATAGTAGCATATCGACCTCATCCAGTTACCAGTAGCGAAATCAGGCCAAAAGAGGGTAAACTGATTGTTTTTTCATTAAAAGGCTACGTGTTGCTATCCACCAAAACGTCGAAAAACCTCTGGTATAGAAAAAAAAACCGAGCGGAAGAAAATTAATAAGTAGTGAAATTGCATTTCCTTTTTTCCCCTGTTTCATTTTTCCCGTGTTTTTTTATCATTGCTCTTTTCCACAAAGATGATCATTGTTGGTTTAATTAATTCCAGCTGTAAGTACCATCTTGACCTTTCATCAAGGTGTTTTATCACACCAGTAGTTAACTGCATTGACGCAGACTCTGACGTGTTGCTTGGTATGTTCCCTGCTGCCAGCCAGATTCCTAGATCGATAAGGTGGCCTATAACTCTTTCTAGAGTGTTCTATGCAGTTTGATTAACTCGCTGTTTATTGAGAACGGATTAACTACATATTTGAGGTTAACTTTCATGACAGTCGCCTGACAGAAACGTGAGTAATACGCACGCGAGTGATCAGACGTGGTGAAGCTTCGCGCGCGCGCGCGTCTACTTCTGGCGTTTGTCGGTCTGAACCACACGCGCTTGTTTCCTTTACTCAAGTGTTGCACGTTTTTCCCGTTGGTTTTTCAACTGGTTATGAAAGACGCTAATCTCAAGTATTTCCTACCAAAGGTGATGAAAAGTGGATATGAACTCACTTGTGTATATTCAAAGATATCACTTTCTCCTTTTGTTTTTTTTTTTTTTTTTTTTTTTTCGGCAGAAAAATGTGTTTTAGTTACAACCTAAATTTTCTTTTCCGACGATATCGTGATTTCCCCCTGTTTATCTCTATTGAGTCATTCTTCAATTTTCTTTTCCGTTTCTCTTCGCTCTTACATCATCACTTTTCAAGCCATCAAATTACTGCCCTCCACCTGTTGTGTTACATTTTTACAGATTAGTCCTACAGAGAAATTTCAAGCAAAATCACACACTTGCGAGAACCGCCCTCGATAAAAACAATGTTAGTCGTCAGAAACAATGATACACTCGTTTCCTGTGAACTTTGATAGGCGAAGTTATCAACTTTTCAAATTACTATCCTCGTTTCTACTTCCAAAGAAATACTAAACTACCATCTATTCTAAGAAATGGTTGGAAAGTCACAAACTGGTTTAAGAAATTTTTACTTTCATTCGTGCATGACGCAGGACATAAACTACATTTTCCCGTAAACAGCTTCAGTAAATCTGTTACTATCGATGTTTAGTCATAATGCGATCTGTTACTACAGTTCATGTTCAGTTATAATGCGATCCGATAAATTCAATTCATATCATTGTATTAGCGGTTGCAGTTTTTCCTATATCCTCTATCAAGATTACATCTTGAAAGATACGTTGCCTTTTCTTTGCTACCTAACAGAATTGTAGAAACAAATTTTATCGGTGTACAATATTCTACACACAAAAATATGGCTTAGTTGATATTTTGCAGTCAATCTGATTGCGAGAACCTTTTTGTCAAAGCTGTGTAATCGCTGCGTTGATTGCTACAGATCGAGCGAATGACGTCCATAAACTCAGTCGCAATTCTACAAAACACTAAATATGTCCGTTTTGCAGTCAATTGCGAGAACCTTTTTGTCAAAGCTGTGTAATCACTGCGTTGATTGCTACAGATCGAGCGAATTACGTCCATAAACTCGCAATTCGACAGAACACTAAATTTGTCTTGAAAATCCGTAGACATTCAAGCACATAGTTCAACTCAGGTAATCGTACTTAGAAAAAACACGCCTTAGATATGCCACTTAATTAAGCACAGCTAACAAGATGCAAAGTTGTTATGTCGAAGACGGTTTTGGCACTTTTCTTTATTATCTTAATGGTATCTAAGCTTCAACTCAGTCCGAAACAACGTTAGGATGCAAGATTAGGATGCGTCTGACCTACGGTATAAAAATTGAGGCTGAGAAAGGCGAATAAGCGTCTAAATGCACACTATTTCACCACTGTATAAACTTCTCTAATTCTTACCACCCAACCGATCTGTTTCTGTATTTTTTTTCACCCCTCAGTTTAACATTGTTTAAGTTAATTTTTCAAACGACCGGTTAGCGCTGAATTTGCATCGTAAAGTAGCCATCTGCCTTCCAATTTCACCAAGTTCGATTTTCAAGACAAAAAAAGAAAGAAAAAAAGATATACCTTGACACAGCACAACTAACAAAGTTAGAAACAGCAAAGTGATTGCATTCATCTTGACACAAAATCCTCGCTTCTTTTCTATCGTGTGTTATTGTTGTTTACTGAAGCCTGCCTTCTGAACGCTCATATAGGATGGACTGGAAAACGCGCTGAGGGTCATCACTCTTTATACTGTTCATTTACGAGAGCTGGCTGTAATTACAGACATATGTCGAGAGCTAATGGCATTCATCTGTCAAATAACTCAGCATATGGTGACATCTACACTTAAACACGATAAAACATGCACGCAAGCACCGCTTACAGACGAAAATACCTGATGTTATCTTTGATATGACTCTCAAATGCAAAGCAGTCAGTTAAGGGGGGAGGGAGCGTCAGACTAACAGTGCTCTCAAAAGGCTGGCACAGCCACAAGTATGAGAGAGTTGACTAATTTAAACTTGGATACCCTTGCTAAGGGTATTTCGGGTTTAGTTGTCCATGAAAAAAAAATTGGTGTTTCCGGATCGTAATTAACAAATAGAGAAGCCTTGACTGTACTCTGTTCTGTTGCAAAAGCAGACAGGAAGCGGATAGAGCACGTTTTCCCCACTTCTTGAACACGAAACTATATGTACTATATGAGTGTTAGCTGTGTTTGATTGCTATTACCGTACGCAAGCTTGCAATCTATTAAACTGGGCGTGAAACCTTCAAAACTCAGACTGTCCATTCGTTTTCTCTTTGAGGATTTTCGTCTCTGCTTACGTTATAACGTAAATTACGGTGCTTGGCCGTTATAAACCTCCGTTTGGTTCTTCTGTTGCTATTTGCCGGCTCGCTTGTTCCGAAATTTCACAGGAACGAAAAAAAGGGTCGATAATGGTCGATATTTGGCAGATAGCGTGACAACTCTAGCTCCCTCTATGTTTTAAACTGTGATGGAGCACGCTTTTTAAACCAATGACATCACGCGTTACATAGTGAAGTTTTAGACCTTATTTGGTTCTATATCCTGAAAGCATAAACATAAGTATCTTTGATTTGGCTAAATTTTGTCGCACTAGTTTAATTCGCCAGTATTAAGAAAGAGTAAATGTATCTTTGAACTGATTGAGCCATCAAGGCACAAGAGTGGAGGCAATAGACCAAAACATATTACATTAGCGAAAGAGTTATTTTTCGAAGGCCAAGGTGAGAATAACAAATGGCCCTCCTTATAAGATTTTGTTTTCACAAACTCGATTCGGCTCCTGAAGATTTAAGTAAGATTTCCTTACACCGAGCCAACTGAACCTATGAAAGACATGAAACGGTTTCCAGTCAAAATAGTCTCAAAATAACCACACCTCTACCCTAAAATGTATTTCTTCTGTTTCCCGATGATAGGTCCACTCGCTCCTAAGATTTTCAACCATGCAATAACGGTGTACTCTTACAGAAAAAGCTTTGTGATTGGGTGTTCCTCAAATATTTACGTTTTAAATTTCCGTTAGCCACGTTCGCTCGAGAAGAATCACGTTTTCGTGAGAAATCACTTATTTTTAGAAGGTTGATCGCGTTTCAGTCTAATGGAACTCAGAAGGATAATTCCAAAATTCGAGACGTATCTGTTAGCAACCCCCTTAACACGCAATATTTCCATTCAGAAATACACGACATTGGAAACTTGTTTAAGCGTGTTTAAGTGGTACTTGATGAGTAGCATACGCACACATGACACACAATGCATGGAACTGAGTTCTTTCACGTAGTCCTTTGTCATGGTTTCAAGAACCTCGCACACATCGCGCAGTTTTACTCTAAATCTCATCTAAATCTAAATCTACCACCTTGAATCCATCTTTACCTAAGTATCCTTACGTCACCAATGCGATAGACATTAGTTAGAGACAAATTAAGATGAAAATAATGATAAGTGAGATGTAGCAGTGCAACTTCTTCAATCTTAGCCTACGAGCACGCAAATCTTCTTTGCCAACGGACGATAAGTTTGGGAAAAATGTCCCCGTGTGAATCCTGAGAAACGTAGTGCGCATAATATTTTGGGGAACAGAGAGGTATCGCCTGAAATTCTCCTCAATTTAACCAATAAACCTTTTCAGCCAATCTTTTTTGCTCTTGTTTCTCCAGCTCGAGCTGTTTTGTTTCACCTGATCACAGGTGCTTAAGCTTAATTAGTCTTATTCAAATTACATAAGGATACAATGGTTGAGTTCTCATGTGTGATCTCAGTCCTCTTACTTTCGTAGGTATTATTAGTAAAAGTTTCCGGCCCACGTTGATGGGCGTACCATATTTTATGAGGAAGGGTGTAACGTGCGATCAAAAGGTAGTTTTTTTGTTACAGGTCCTGTCACCTGAGCGGACAACTTCTTAGGAACTGAGGCAGATTTAAAGCAAGATATACGCATCATCTACTTAATGGATTGGTTCAATCGTAAAACACAAAAAAAATCGCAGTGAACCAATGACAGAAGAAAGAAATGAAAGCATGCTCGTTACCTATCTTGCTTAATCTTCACCTGTTTGATCTCCTTCTGCATGCGACCTAACTAAGCGTACACTTAATGACTTTTTTTTCTCAAGTTACGACATCCCTTTCCGCCGGATTTTCATATATTTCGATGAATTAGCATTTACAAAACTTGCAACGCATATCAACATATTTTTCTGTGATTTCGCAGCCGTGACCCTCCGTATATCAAATCCACAGGTCTACCTGCGTAAGTTTCAAGGTCACCCCAAGTGCGGTGCCTCACGCCATATCTTTCAACAACGAACGAAAATACTCTCTCATATGGCTTGCCAGAAACATCTTCTTACACGTAATATAGAGATTTTATTCCCCCTTACACCCATGTAATGACTGTGCTCATGGTAGGCCGAGTTTAAACTTTAAACATATGATATGTCATTCGTTTTGTGACGAGCGTATAAAGAAGAATCGACCCCAGATCTGCGGATTTCTTACTTTGATCCTCTACCGGCGAGCTGCACATGTCAGCGAGCTAGTCTCAAAATTTGCCATCTTTCTTATTTCGTTTTGCTAACAAGTTGCAACCTTGTTTTAGTGCTTTCAAGAATCGCAGATTGGCGAATTTGTCCAGTTTTCTCTCAAAGAAAGACCAGAGTCTATGCATTTCGTTATTTGTAATTCGTTTTAAATTCTCTTTTCGTGGCTTTCCTCGTTGATTCTCGCTTTGTTATTCACTCTTTTGAGTTTCTCTATTTTAACAAAGCATCATCTCACACACTGTGCGAGGACAGTATAGATAATGAGATAAAATAGAAGATAAGTCCCGACCTTGTCTCCTTATATTTATTGCAAAACTAACTTGCGTTCAGTTGACATAGCACCTCTAACAACCAGATGAAACCGCTAAAATATAGAGCCTTTTGTGATCCAAAGGTATATAAGCGGACGCAAGAAGTGGTTTTACTATGAGGGAGCGATCCTTTAGGGAAAGTACACAGGTTTTTAAATCTTATAACGTTTTCAGTCCCCTCCTTTAAGAATTACACCACGTTGTGGGTCAAAATCAATCCTTTAGGCATGTTTGAGGCGCCACAGACTACAACAAGCGAAATGGACCTAGAATACTTCGCCTTCAACCGTTCTTGCAATCCAGTTCAGTCCCCTTTGGTAATGCGCCATTTTAGAGTGTACAGAGAGAACAAGGGGTTCGTTCTTTTAAGTTTTCTAGAAACGCTTTCAAACGTGCAACGGTTGACCCCATCGAGCCCCACCCACGCAGTTTAAATTACAAGATACAACTTCTGCCCACCAACATTGATGATCCCGTGGGGTCTTCCGCTCAATGAACGCTCTGTTGGGTTTAGTAAAGAAATGGTCGCTTCCAGAAGATCTAAGAGAAGGGTGGGTCCAAGCTGCCCAGCACGAAAGACGATGAAGGAGAGAAGTTACCTATGAAATTCTTTGTGAGAGGTTTGCGAAGTCGGAAGAAGGCTGTCTGAGTTTGGTTTAAGACTATACGCGTTCAAACGGCAAACGGCTGTAATCATGAAACCCACAAGGATATGCCACCGACCTTTTCGCTATCTCGAGAGAAAACTTGAGTATCCGTTTTTACTTTGGATTTTGTTTAAAATTACACATTACATAAGACATGTCCAGCTACATGATTCAAACTGAATATTCGTTGCTCATTTCTTATGCATGGTTAGTTTTTGGCGCCATAATATCCTTTTGGCGCTCAAACAAAATGCGTACACCACTATTATTTCGGATAACATGGCTTGGTAATTTCAGATAATTGAAGCCGCTATACAATTTATTGCAAAAACTAACAACAGTTAAAAAGGCGAAAGCCTATTTAGCAGAAATTTTCTTTGCATGACCATGCTAGTAAAACAAGCGACAATGCATTGACCCTTTCGCGCAAATATTGAGGCTAAAAACTGTCAGAACTCAAAAATACACCTCTATTTCATCTTCTCTTCTTCTTCCCACTCCACCAATTTGTTTCTTTTAGTCTTTAAACGTTTGTTCATCGTTAGTTTGATGTTTCATTAAATCTTTGATCAAACGGTTACGGCTGATTTTCAACTCGAAGTAGCTCTACTATTCGACTTGTAGTAAAAACATATTCAAGCTATGATCTTTGCTAGTGGACTGCCATGCCATTTAAGCAATTGCAGAAAAACCCCGAAAAAAAACCAGGCTTTGATGGGATTCAAAACTGTGCCTCTTAGATACTAGTTTGGCGCCACTAGCAACTGAGCTACGAAGGCACACGTTAGGAGCAAGGCACTTAAAAAGAAAAAAGTTTTTAAAAGAAACATACCTGGCAAAGATTCTCCTTCACATAGCAAAGCCATCAAAGTTATTGACAGTAACGCAATAGTTTTCATCTTCCTCTTTGCTTTTCTGCGGCGTGTGTTGTTCAAGGTTGCAGTCGGCTGACGTCTGATTGCACCGGATGAACGATAGCGAATGAGGATTATTTAGGATAATTCAAGATTATAAACTAATACATTAAGAGTTGTGAACATATTCACGATCATAAACGCATACAATTAAAGCTTTTGTACCTTTGAATTATTTTCTTTTGTTTGTAATAGATTTGATCAGTTCGCATGCAATAGCTCTCCTCTAGCTCTACCTCTACGATTGAGGTAGGGGTGAGTTCAGGAGGATCGCGGATCGGAGAGCCTTCGTGGAAACGAAATCTTCTGTCCAAAATGCCAGATTTCACTATAGTATTCATCTAAAGTCGGCTGCCTTGTGAACGCTTCAATGATGGACTATTTAAAACAGTGAGGGTCTGCACCTCTGTCCGTTCTATACCCACGAGATTGGGACTTTAAATATTCAAAACTGATTTGCAAGGCGTTGTTAATTTTTGTTTCACTGGCAAACTTTTGCCGCATAAAAAACGCGCGAATTTAAACCTAGCTGACTTGAAAAGTTAAGGGAAATGAGACACGTTTAAGACCGTCAAACCGAGGAGTCCAAGATTTCTTACTTTAAATGATCGAAACGTACTTCAAAGAGTTATAGCTTATGGTTCGAGTTAATGAGGTATTACTGTGTTTTAAGTCTCGCGTTACACTCCTATGGATATTAGACAAGTAGGACAAAAGTTGCATACTAGCTAAGTATATTAATCCCGCCTCCCCTCATTATTTAGTCGAGACAAAACAAAATATTAACCTACAGACAAAAGCCAACTTCTTAGAAAATGACTCAAGGACTGATGCCTTAATCGTGCGTGACTGAAAAACCTCGTTTACTGGCGGGAAAAACGTAAAACTTAGTCTGAAGAAAGAAAAAATAGAAAAACAGCAGGCTTCAACTGGGCTTCAACCCAGGTCTTCCAGTAAGAAGTTGAGCGCCGCTTCTACCTTAACAACAAGGAATGAAACCACATTATGACGGGGACTGTAGAAAATTTAAGGTTCAAGTATGAGGTTGAATTCATTTATAGCTTTAATTTATGCTATTGTTTCAGCTGCCTGCAGTTAAAAGTCAAATGTGACTGATTTTACAAAACCAGACTTTCCAAAGAATATAAACTTACAGTTTATTTTCATAATAAAATATTTTGAACGCGGCGTAAGACAAAATAACTCCATGTCAGAATTACAATTTTTAAGACTAGCTACTGTAACAAACAAAACAGAATCAACAGCATTTCAGTAACGTCCAGTCAACCGCGTGCTTTATTCAGATCTCCTACATGCTTTGACACGATCTTCAATTGTTCCTTAGCTACTATATTTGGCAGAAAAATTGTCAATGTATAATACAGATGGTGTTCTTCTCTTGTTTGACTCCGCGCATGTCTAATACTTAAAACAAACTGGTCCTATTTCAAAAGTGAGCTTGGAGTCGACGCTGCTTTGTGGTGCCCAGTCCACTATCGGCAGGTTATTCTGCTGCGCGGTCGAGACTTCAATCTTCATTTTTTTATTTCCATTATCAGACGTCTAGATGGAGAAACAAAAATTAATTATTTGTAATATTTGTCATTTCAACGGTGCGGTTATGCATCTGTAAAGGGGATAGATAGTTCGTCGACAAAATTTGCTCTCACACGAAACTCATTGCCTTCAATGCCAGCAATTCGTTCGGTTTCGTTCCCTCACGAGCGTGGGCGAAACAAGGAGTGCCATGAATCGGATTTCCCAAAGGCGACAGTTCAAGATCAATAGTCCATTGTACAGTTGCTTGCTTGGTTTCCAAGCCTTTGAACAGGAGTGAGGTTAAGGTTGACCTTGTTATGATATTAACCTTGTTGCTTTTCAAATGAAAATTACTTTGTTATCATGCTAACTAGATACTGGTCTCTATCACAACAACGTCACCTTCAGTCTCACTCTAAATCAAAGGCTTGGCAACTAAACACACAACTGTAAAATGACCAACTGTGGTAGTGCAACCACACTGTGTATCTTTCGACTTTAACAATGATTCAAACTTTTTTGGACCAAACACAGCGAAGAGAAGCCAAAACTATCAAATATCGTATTACTTTCGCCAATCATTTGAAAATTGCTCAAACGCACTTAATCAAAATGTGCTCTATTTACATTCTTTTAACATGATCTTCAATAATGATTACCACAAAAAAATTGAGGCATCATGAAAAAAAAAAATCTACATCTAATCACGAGATGGTGATGAGCAGTGTATCTAGCAATGGAAATTTAAAAACATCAGTTGAACTCAAGATCTACACGTGTCTAAACATTGTCAACGTTATAGTTGTACCAGCCTACCTCTGTAACATCAAGGTCTATCTTCTCCAAGTTATTGACCACCATTTCATTATCGCCTTTAAGATCCACCATGCAGCTCTTGTGTGAGTTTGCGCAACTGTAGCTCATCTCTTGGAAAGCGCTCTTGCTCAGAAGTCGCAAGTATGTCATTTGCACTGAGTTTAGTTTGTATTCGATCTATGAACAGAGGGAATAAAAGTTATAAGAGATTCAGCGCAATTCAATTGAATAAAGGGGGTAAGTTTCTAAAGAAATTGTGGTGTTGCATCGATGGGGGGGGGGGGGGAAGGTATTACAAGGAAGTTTGGTTTTATCAACTGAGTTGACGATGTAACCTGGCCTCCTTAAAGAATTTCTAAAGCTGTCGTTTCGTACGTTGGCCCATCGTTAGTATAGACAGAAAAATGGAGCTTCGCTATGGGAAGGAACATGGTAACGTGAAAAACACGGGAATAAATTAGTTGAATGAATAGGATTCGTTGATACCGTGATCAAGAGTGGCGCTATGAAAGATAAACCATTGCTCTAGAGTTTTATGGCTTTCCGTACTGTTTAGATGTGGGAAAAGACCGCAGACTGCCATATTTTTCTTAAAATGATTGGCGAACATGATTTTGGAAAGATCCAAACGAAATCATTGCAAGAACTTCACTGGTCTGATGTAGGGAGTACCAAAGAGGCTATCAGTGGCATTACTATGCGCTTTTTTTGCTCAACCTGCTTCCTTTGTTTCCCTCTCTTCCATTCAGTCAGTTTCAGAGAAACTATTCATTTTCTGAAATATCGTACTCAAGCACATTGGCAATAAAGTAAAAAATTAAAAGGCAAAAGAAAAATGTTATACCGGTTCATCCTCGTTTGTCCATTGTCCTGGACCGGTTTCATTGGCGTCGACAACAATCTATCACGCAAAAAAGAGAGCAATGAGATTTTACTGTTATCACCTAATATTCGTGCATGATAGCATAGTACCAAGCAAAGAAATCCCTCCAGTTTTGGCCTCTCGTAGTATTGAGAGCGTTAAGTTAAATTTTCTCTTGTACCTTGGTCTTTTTGGGGTTTACGCAGGTAGCGTTCTTCTCGAAATCGCAGTAAACTTTGACAGCGTCACTGCTGCAGCCTTCGTTGGGATCGATCGTGTACTCACCTACAGAACAAAACAAAGTTAGTCTGATATTACCATTTTGTGGCATGTAGAAAATAGTTACCAGATGGAAGAAACGCACAAATGAAACAGCGAACGAAGAACGATTGAATATCAAGCAGTGCGAGCTGAAAATAAAATAAGCTACAGCAAACTGTAAGAAGAGAATGAAATGGTAAACTTCGGATAGAAAGATACGGATTAAAACACTGGCCATGTGTTTGTTCTTTGATATAACACTTTACTCTCACAATGCATCTCTCCACCCAGGAGTATAAAACCGAATGAGAAACCTTGTGAAATGAAAGAGAGAGGGTGTGGGGAGGGTAACCCTGCGATTGACAGACATCCAACGGAGAGAAATTTTCTTCAAGTTGCTCCCTGAGTTTTTTGGCTGACTTTACTTTGACCTATAATACGACAAAGGCCATGATACCGAGATTACAAGTGTATCTTAATCACCGCCCTTATCGCAGACAATTCAGTGTTGTAACTCAACCATCATCAACAGATCGCCACCCTTATTTATGTGCACTGATCTTTCGGTAACAATCTACCACGCATGCTCAAGAGAGCCACTCTTTGATGTCACGCAGAAATCTTATGATTGCCCGCGCGACATAAATACATAAGAAGCTTGTCAATAAACGTTTCAACAACAAACCGCTCTTAGATTCAGGATGATCTAGTTTGATTTCTCGGCATGATCGGGCAGGATGTTCCAGGTCCCCATTCTGTACTCGGAAAGTTTGAATTTTCCTGTCCAGAAGCGATATCATGAATTCGATATCCACAGTCTAGGGGGAAAAAAAGACGACTATAGTTGAGCAAAAATTGTCTAAGACCTACAAAATCTTGTCGACAAGTCCCCATGACCTGTTGCGCTGCAATATCGCGGCGACAATTAGCTTAGTGTATCAAGAGAGCTTCTTCTTTTAACATGAAAAAAGAATTTAGAATTCCATTTACATTCTCGGTTTAAGTTAGGTCAGATTTTACAAACCAAATGGGAGGAACCCGGGCTCCAACGTAGCACACAAATCAGCGATAAAAATCGTCTCGTGTACTATACCGTTGCCGATCACGGCCGCAAAAAAGTTGTGTTTCAAGTTGTTCCGTAAAACATGGATAACAAACCGATGTTAAAAATCGTCTCGTTTTACTTCTCCTTAAAAGCATACTATGGCTGCGCAGCTCAAGTGGGATACCGTCAGAACCAAGTATCACTTATACCTTGAAGAGTTGGGCTCCAACGTCATTATTTGAATCCTGTGATTTTCCAGATCCCTAAACGTAGTAAATGATAACATGAATATCGGATATATAAAAGCGCCGATCAAAGATGTAAATCTTTTTTTGGCTGGACCAAGCTTTGTGGTCAAACAAATTGCACAAATATTTTTAAAACAGTACGGTTCTTACTTGGCTGGAGTACAATCTGTATGGGGGAGGTCCTTTTTCACCAGTGTTCATTTCAGCAAGCTGCAAGTGACAGATAAAGTAAAAATTAACTGAGTACAAGATGATATCTGTTGTAAGGTTACAGTGCTGTTCAGCGTTGAATTCTTAAGATCCTCTTCCCTCCAGTTATTATATATTTCCTTGTAGTTTGGCAAGCAGAATTTTAAATTTGATAGCCACCACTAAGAGGTTTGTGTTTCCTTGCAAATGTTCATGCCATTTTCATGCGTTTTCTCGACGAAGAGCACGAGTCTGTGGCTTACGAAACACAGCCCAAACTAATATTCTTGAAATGCTTTTCAAGGAGGGCACTTGATTCAGAGATGTCACTTCTCAACGTAAAAATTTAATTTTGAGACTCGTCACAATGGACAATTTTTGGGCAACTCGCAACAATGGGCAAGACGTTTTCCTAGGCAATCCTACAATGGAACCTTAATAGCTTTACACATCACGGTTTAACTTAGCTATTCATCTTAGCAGTAGTATATAAAAAACATTGCGATGGACATTTGAATAAACTGAGACTCGAAGTCCCCAATAACAACAACCTACCGCTTCTGCCAAACTCTGTCCTGGTGGTCCCTGATAAAAAGTAAATATGATAAAAGTTATACAACCGTTCCAGGGTGTGCATAGATTTAACCCGATTGCAGTTTTAGCAAAAAACCGCTTCGTGACGATGTTTCACGGATACAATACGAACGAATTAACCTTTGCAAAAGTTGAATTGTCTCCGATCTTCGGAAAGACCATTCGCAACCCGATTTCAAATCAAAAGTAAGCTTGTCGGTTCAAACAACTTTGCGTCTCGAATACAAAACTAACATTTTAACAATTTATATTCAGTTTTTCAGATATCACGGTGAATCGTTTCAGCCAGTCAAGATTTCATTTTAGTGTTTGTAGGGAAGTAAACTGCCCCGTGGAAAGTAGAAACAGTAAAAAAAAATTAGGTATCCTTTTCTTTTCTGTACACTGCCCCTCCCCTTCGCCCCTCCGCCCCTCCCCCCCTCCCCCACACATACACACACAAACACAGTGTTGACAATTAAAAAAAGACATACCATTGGCCCTCTGGGACCGGCTATACCTGGAGGTCCCTGGAAACAACGCACACAATTGTATTGTTATGAAAATAATATTGTTAAGTTGTTTTCTCAAAAGTTCCCAAGTTCTCTACAAGCTAGCTAGTTACAGTGTAGGAGAAAATAGATAAATGTCGGAGTGATATTTGAGAAGTTTTCAAATGTTTCCATCAATGAGGAACACTTCCACTAGACTTCTTTTTCAATTCCACACTGACGCGAGTCATTGTGGAAGACTTTACTTTAAAGTTAAGCCATAAGTGATATTTTTGGATAAACTAAACTAAATTTTTGGCAATTAACCTATAAAACAAAAACCAGTGTGTTAGAATCTCATGTATCTACTTCCTTTAATGAATTGAGATGAACCGATCACTTGCTAGGTAATTACGAAGACAGTAATCATTCAACCCTTTAACTCCCATGAGTGACCAAGACAGAATTTCTCCCTACAATATCTCTACAATATCAACCAGATAAGTGACAAGAATAAAGAAAAAGATCAATTTGGGGATAATTAGTTGATCCAATACTAAATTCTCTGAACTAACATTTTAAGAATTGTATGGGTGACAGTAAGGGGAATTACAAATTTGATCTGGGACTTAAAGGGTTAAACATAATTTTACTTTCAATACTTACAGGTAGACCGTCTCTGCCCTAAAAATAACAGAGAGGGAGAAAAAAAAAATAACGGATAAGAGACAATTAAGACGTAAAACTATTAAAAAAAATTTGAAGAACTGCCCACAGATAGCTAAATAAGGCTACTTAAGGAAGGAAATTTAAAATTTATCTATAGCACCATATCCATAGCACCATTTTAACACATTATTCCCTATAAAAATCATCTAAACAGGGTTTAGAATTGTTTTCATCAACACAGTTACCTGCACTGAAGTTTGGCGACTTAAAATTCCCCAAATTAAAATTAAAGCAAGTGAATGTTTGAACCGTCTATAAAATTCATTTTTCAGTATTCTGTGGCTAAATTTCATTCAGGTCAACGGGGTCTCGCTTCACGTGCTTGGTTGGTGTGACTGCGGCAATTGTCTTCAACCGCGCCTAACCTAGTTTGCAATAAGCTCCTGATTGGTTAAGAAGACATTACGAATTTCTGCACCAATGACAGAGCGAATAAAGAAAACTTGTGGAAAGTTGAAGCTTAATTGCTTCTAAGATAGTATACAACTCAGTTCTCTAAATTTATTCATCGAAGTCAGATAATTGGATGACAACATACCGGTTCTCCACGTTCACCCTGAAAATAAACAAAAACACATATGGGTTAAGTTTATCACGCATAATTTTTTTTTACTCTCAGCAAAAAATCAAAAGTAAAAATAAAGAATTGACAAGGGAACTTGTTGAAAAGTAAAGATTTATTCTACGATAATTGCCTTAGTTTCATGGCTTGAGGGATTATCACAGCAAACACATTTCGTTTCAATCATATGTTCCTTTTTCAGGAACAAAAAACTAAAATAATAACAAAAAACTGGACGGTAGTTAAAATTAAAATATGAACGCATATGGCCAAATATGCACATTCAAACCTGTGTGCCGGGATCTCCCTGAGCTCCGCCACTTCCCTAAAATGAAGACAATTCATCCTGATAATTAGAGTCGAAACGTTGTGAGCGAGAGGTAAAATGTGCGGAAAGCAGGAAAAAATCAACAGTAAACGACGGTGTTACAGTTTTCGTCAGGAGTTCGCAGATAAATGTTCACTTGATTACAGATTGTGATGAATAATTAATTGAGAAGTTTTGATCAGTTCGTTAAAAAAAACTGTCAGGATTTCAACAACAGCACTAAACTAACTGTGGACGAATCGACAACGATTTGTGTGATACTTATAACCCTTCCGATTGTGCTTGTGTTTCGTGTAAAGAGTTTTGTTCACTATCAGTTACTTCAGCCGGTAAACTTTTTCAGCATCATCTGGTCTATACTTAATAGTATCTCCACGTAAATGCGATACAGTACAGACACGAAAGGTGTCAAATAACTAGCATTTAAATACCTCTGGTCCTTGAATTCCCGGTTGACCGGGAGGGCCTGCGGCTCCCATGCCACCCTAGCGAGAGGTAGATAGAAACGCAATGCGTACACATTCGGATGCGAAAGATAAATAAATAGGTACAATAAATACTAAATACTCAAAGAAAGAATTGAGTGGAGCGGTCAATTAGTGAAACTCTTTTGGTAAAAGTCAAAGCGATGAGCATTTGTTTTCGTGAAAGCTGAAAGAGCTAATGTGTTAGGGAGAAGCAATCATGTTGAGCACAAAGACACGCTTAGAGAGCGACGACCGACAGACAGACAGACAGAGAGAAAATAGAAAGACATGGACTGATATATAAATATATTGGCAGAAGTTCGACGGACAAAAACAGACATGTAGACGGATGGACAGACAGACAGACAGACAGACAGACAGACAAACAGACAGACAGACCAACAGACAAACGGGCGGACAAACAGACAGACAAAGTGACAAACAGAAAGACAGAAAGATAGACAGATAGACAGACAGACTAATAGATAGACAAACAGACAGACAGGCAAACTATAGCTTACTGGTTTCTATAGACAGAATTCAGATGTGTCAACTCGGGAGTTAATAAAGCAATTTTCGATTGAGTGTCAAAAGTTGTAAAAATTGTTTTGGTTCTACTTTACTTCATGCGGTGATTGGTTAAGAAAAATTGCAACATCCTCTCAACCAATCAGATTCAAAACTACAACCAATCCTGACTTGGTCACCCGCATTTTCCCGCGCTTTCAAAGTCTGCTTGTTTTTATTTCGAGTTCTCATTGGCTCCTTGTGATATCTTCTTTGGCTCTCATTGGCTGGTTTTACCTTAACGACACTCAATCAAAAATTTGCTTTACAGGTAAATAAACAGACGTACACTGTAACGAGTTTTAAAAAGCTTACGCGTGAAACATAAGCTCTGAAAGAATGAAAAACCGACCCTCGGCCTGTTTACAGACTTATTCCTTTAAAAATAGGAATTCGGAATACCTTTGGTCCTTCAGGTCCCGTACTTCCGTTTCTTCCTTCAGGGCCATCCTCTCCCTAAAATGCATATTTAATTGCATTAGTATTATCAGCGGGTTTATACTTGACGCGTGGTTAAGGGCAAACACCAACGCATTCTAAAAAACCACTGTATCTCTATCGCTTAATGCGCTGATCAAATACATGAGTGAGGCAAGGTAAAAAGTCAAACAGCTAACAGTTGTGGTACAGTTTTGAAACCGCGAGAGGAGTGGAAAGAGGGTTTTCTTGATCTTGTAACCTCCACTATTTATAACTAATTGGTAACCTCCACTATTTATAACTAATTGCAATAACGTTGTCATATAAACAATAAAATGCAAATAGTATTCATGAAAACCAAAAAACGATAAAAAGGAATTACTTAAATCACAAATGGATAATTTAAAACATTAATCATTTTACTTACGTCAATTCCAGGGGGACCTGTCCTGCCAACTTCACCGGTATATCCTGGGTCACCCTGACAAAATGATAAGAAAAGAATTTTGAGTAAAAGTTCAGTACAAGTTTTACCAAAAGTGCTCCTACTACTTGACCAGTGGAAACGTTTCAGGGCCACCTTAATTTTTCGATATATCATGTTTGCTCTGAGCTTTGCCAAAAGATGAACGTTGATACGATGATGAAAAAAACCTGGGTCAACCATCTTGTTTCCGAGTTACAGAACTATTTGAATTAGGAGTGTTCCCTTTTAATAGGTTATAGTAAACAATTGCCTTTGAAAACATTAAAAACAAAACAAAACAAAACAAAACAAAAACCGCAACTTGTTTAGAAATAACTGAGCATTTCTTTTGTGCCGAATTTAAGGATAGAAGGGAACCCGTGTTTTAGGAAATGTTTTTGTCCATCTTGGTTCTGTAGATATATAAACCTTTAATGATCAGTCTCACGATGCGGAGTCAGGCTCATCAATCGTGTGTTGATCCTGACATTTCGACTGCTATAGTGCCAGTCTTGGTCAGGCGAGGTCAAAAGTTGTGTTTAGGCATCGACTCGTCGTACAATTTGCGTTAAAGGAAAAAATAATCACAACAAATTTAAATCTCTATCCTGAACTAATACCGAAAAAAAAACATTAACGCTTCTTACCTGTGTTCCAATTAGACCGTTTTCTCCCGTGTCACCTCTGTAACCGCGTGGTCCCTTTTGCCATCAGAATACAAAAATTTTCAATTTTTTCTCATATCGAAAGAGAACTAATGGCATGCACATGTAGATCCTTAGATTGAAAGGAATCTCGTTATCTTGGATTAAGAAAAACGACAAATCTTGCGCTCAAGGAAAGATAGTCTAAATTTTTTTAAGCACTATGGCACTCTACTGCTGAGGAATTGAGAACTTGAAGTTAAGCTTGGAAAATACAAGACTACATTTCCCCATCTTATTCCTCGATAAACGTCTTTCCCCCGATACCAAGATAAGAAAATCAGATACATAAATTGATTGACCATCAAAGAGTCGCTGAGTTGGATTAAAATCCCTCTCGGCTTTCCAGTCTAAATTAGTAAGCATTGCATCACGGAACAATTTGTCTACGTATGTACGATCATCAGTCACAGAATTTCCAAAAGGAGTGCAAAAACAACGGCAACAAGTTGTTATCCTAGGCTTGGTGGGGCGACAATAAGTTTATCTTTTTACAATTTGTAATGAGGAGCTGACAGCTGAAACTAACACAACTTCACTCTGAAAACAACCCTCGCTGTGTTCTACTGAGACCACATGATCCTCTCTACAGCACGGGTTATTTTGCAGCCGACTAAATTTTTCACCGAAAAGGGAGGGGGGAAGAAGGAGGAGAGGAGGAATGTTTCAACAATTCTTGCTAGGATTACATCTGTTACTTTAATGTGATGAGGACAAATGGCGATTTAATGTAACGAAATCACCAAGAAATGAGAAAACAATTAGATACCTTTAAATATGTAATACTGAGATTAAATATTAACTTACATTATTTCCTGGTTTGCCAACTTGTCCGAAGTTGCCGTTTCTACCAGGGTCGCCCTGCAAGAATAAAATCCACACAAGAACAGAATTTAAAAAATTGACCAGCTGCGAAAAGGAAACCTTAATTTTAAATCAAAGTTAGCAATGTTAAGGGGTTCTACTCACGTTATCTCCTTGGGGACCTTGTGGTCCCTTTGCACCAGCAGATCCCATTGGTCCAGGAACTCCCACAGTTCCGTCCACGCCGGGGGATCCCCGGGGGCCATTATCACCCTAAAAAAATCAAAAGGTAACATTAACTATCTTTTCTTCATTCCTGTGGAGCTGGAAGTTTATAAAACCGGATTGGTGAAAATTTCATACTTTGTGCTACAAAAACTGCAAATCCAGTTTAAGTTATTGATTTCACCGAAAGACAATTCTACCCCACGTTTGTGTATTTTTGGTGCCAAAAGTGCACCTTTCACCCGTTGTCGCCTGTAAGCTCAACAATTAAAACTGTGAGGAAAGTGTACTAGTTGGTCGTCACCTTTGAGAGTAATCTTATCTCCTGGCAATCACTTTTACCGCTGAACCTGCTTCATGGTGTTACTCATAACACATAAAAACTAACTCAGAGCTAGACTTATCT